TGTACGAAGCGGCAACGGCAACGGCAACAGCAACGGCAGCGGAAGCAACAGCTCAGCTGCCAATACTGTTCAAACATGACGTATACGTAACATGCCACACCACACCACTTGCCTCATCGTTGTTAAGCACTGAGCACACACTTTTTAATTAAATGTTGTATATATGTACTATATGTACAAGTATATGTATGATCCTTGAGCATAACAATGGATGGCACTTCATTAGTCGCCAGTTCGGCTGCTATGGGCCACTTTATTGGGTCGTTGGCTCCATGGCATTGGCTTTGTGCAATTAGCCTTTATGTTGTGTGCTCTTGATTAGGACGACACATAAGTAGAGCACACCACAGCCGACACAGAAGCCACTTCCAATTGGGGAAAACCTCTTCATTGTCTGCTGCGTGCTTGAAATTGTTTTTTTGGGCCATGCTTGAACTTTTCCCTAGGTCTGGAACTAGTTTTGTTCCTCAGAAAGTTATTAATAAGAAATGCGAGTCTATTTTGGGAAGCCTTGGCCTAAATTGAAACCGAAACTAGTACCAGGGTGGAGGGCAAATCAATCAGGCGGCAATCAGAACCTTATCAATTGATTAACGATTGGTAAATTTAATGGGTACCCACATGAAATTATATTTACTGCCGCCTGTTTATTTCCAAAGGGAATTTGCTTATAAATATTTCATTCGGTGGAACGGAACACTATTGTTAGAGCGATGTAGAATCGCAGAATAATCGCAGCTAATTATTCACAGCCCCAAAGTATTCCCCTGTCTGGCATATCCCAGATATGTGTGCTCCTATCTGTATCTGTATCTGCATGAATACAAATTTTATGCGCATATATTTGCGTCAAGTGACAACGGGAAGCTCGGAGAGATGTGTCAGACCGTACTGATAGGCATCATAAATAATGTGAGGCATATCAATTGCTCTATAATAAATTTATAACCTTGCTGCCCAAGGAAATCTCTGAAATTCCGCTTACTCCAGTGTCGAACTTAAAGACAAGAAAAAGTGCTGGACCAAGAAAAAACAAACAGAGAAAGTGGGAAAAGTTGAGCAAGAGCAAAGACCAGAAAGAGGAAAAAGTTAGTTTCCAATTTGTTTAAGAAATAGAAAAAGAAGTACAAACGCCACAAAATACAGACGCGGTGAAGTAAATCAAAACTTGTGCATCGATTGCAAGGACAAATAAAGGAAATACGAGTGCCACTCATCCGCAAATCTCTTTCATCCCAATAAGCGAAATCCATTCAGGGAACACACACAAAAAAGGAAAGCGTCACGGAAATTCCCAAGGGGCTGAATCAGCAGTCGGTGCGGAAATACTTTAACCCAAGCTGAGCAATGACAATACGCGTAATAACGAGTAAACCTGAACCGAGGAGCAACCCGAGGAGGTGGATGGAATGGGTAAAGTTCGCCCCAGCTCGTGGAGCTCCAGCTAAATCTCAATTTATCATTTCCTGTAGGGGGGCGCCGCAAATTTGAGAGCTTGGGAAATGCTTTGCGCGCCTGTTTAAAAGGCATTTTATCAGAATGTCCGCACAGACATTAGTCGGACGGGCAGGGACTCGCACACATACAGATGTGGCATTAATGGCCAACAGTGGTATGCATAATGTCAGCAGTGGCGCCGACATTCTTCAGTCTGAAGTCGGACAGAAATATGAAATAACATTCGGGCACGCATCTGGGGCGCTTGCCTTTGGCCGCTTGGCCACTTTAATGCGACCCGAGTGTCCAATTTGTATGCATTTAGCTCGTGTATAAATGCCGCACCTCTCCCTGCTCCCCTCTGCACCCCAAATCGTTTATGGGCAAGGCCATTGCCAAGAGAGAAGTATTTTTAGGCTAGACCAATCCTCGCCTTTTCCGAAAATTGATACGGCGTCTACGTGCTATTGATATAGCTTCCGTCCCGAACCAAATGGCCTGTGAACGAGCGTTCTGCTGTATTTGAATTTGAATGTTTATGAGGCTTTTCATTTAATGGCCTTCCCATCCAGGTACATATGTGCCTGTGGAAATGCTTTAAAGCCATGGCTTTGTCAGTGTAGTTGAAGGACTTTGGGTTCACATTCTAAGCAAATAGCTCATCGCGGAGGCACACCTCAGAGCGGGAATGGCGCTAATTACACTGACAACAGCCACGCACCTCATCGACACGACAGGGACGACAGGACGTTGTGGCGACGACGCAACAAATACGCCTTGACCACACCCTCAGAAGGCGACGGCAGAACACACAGTTTGCGTATATGAGGTGGAAATTATTTGTTCAATAAATCAAATTGACTCCTGTCCGTGGCAACTAGAACATCGTATTTACTCTCAATTAGTTAGCAACATTAGCAAGACATTTCGCTAGGCAAACAATCATTATTAAGGGAGGACCGCACCTTGTTCCTTTGTACTTTGTACTACGCCTTTGACTTGTCTCAAGCCTGGGCAAAAAATGGATTAAAACTATGCAAACAGTGGAGCGTTTCCGTGTGTGAAATCAGCTTTGGGTTTGCTTCAATTGGGCAATCGAGAGAAGGCAATGTAATGTGTACATGTAATCTACTTAAAGTGATAGCCAACAGTTGTGAGGCAACGCAACAACAACTTTCCACTTCGGATCGTAAATCCGTCCCTGTAGAGCATCTCTTAGTCTCAATTGGCGCTCATTCACACGACCCGTGTATGCCTGCCTGTGTGTGGTTTAATTGCCTGTCTAGAGGAGCAACAACAGTGGGCCAGGCGAAGCACAAACACTGCCTGGGACTTATTTGCATTTCACATTAGGCAGAGGCGGCTGAAAGCAGCTTAGCATGTTCCGACAGAGAACAGCCATCGCCTCTGCTTTCCCCTGTTTATTTGGGCGTAGGCCGCCGCCACGCATGAGCTGACATCTTTGTTCGCAATTTATACTCGTATCCTGTCGAGCCTATCCCCAATTGTCAGGTAATTGCGCCTGGGCGTGGCTGCCCATCGTCGACGAGTCCATAAAGATAGGGAATTAACAGCAGCCGCGTCATCAGCATTTCCTAATTAGTTGACAGGCCACAAAAAATCCGAGTTGAGCACACTCAGCGCTCGGCTCGGCTCGGCCATTTGCGGATTTATGTTTTCAATTTATTTTCAGCTGCAGCTAAAAGGAGCAGCCTCGTAAAACGGCGAGCACAGAGCAGCACAGTGGAGGGGAGTTCAGCCTACGTGTTTGTAATATGAAAAACATTTTTTGTTTGCCCAAAAAAGTGGAGGCTGTTTTATGCTTGATTTGGGCTCCACCCCGATTTTCTTTAGTTCGTTTTTATGCTTTGTGTGCTCTCTTGTTGCTCTGTTCCCCGTTTATGCCACTGCGGCGGAGTATCAAAACTTTGTAGAGAAAGGAAAGGAGAGAGAGAGAGAGATACATTTCTCAAAAGTTTAGGGCACATACAAGTAAGCTCAGTGGAAATGTCTGGCAAATATTTATAGAAAACCACTCAAGGAATGGGCAATGGGAAGTTCGCAAGCAATTCTTGAACTGTAGACAGAAATGTCTCAAAAACTTACCGCAAATTTGCGTACATTATTTTCCTTGGAATCTTACTTCAGATTGCTTCGACCTTTGCTTCTCAACATCAAAGGCATTAATCAAGTACTAATTAGCCGAGGCAATCCAAAGTTACCAGGAAAATGCCAAGAAATCGTATACATATAGAAAATGTATTTTGCCAAATTAAAAGCAACGTCGAAAGCCGCAGCAAGGAAAACTGCCAAGCAATAATCATAATTTGTGGCATTAACGGGGCGAGCGTTTCTGGGTAACTTTGCACTTTTCCCCACAGCAAAACCCCTGCCCCAAGCAGCATTGATAAAGTGTCGCTAAACAATTTATCAGCACCAACCCGGGGGAACTGGGCACCAAAGCAAGGGGCATGAGCAGTTAGCGGTGTGGAAATGGCAGCTTAACAAACTCTCCTCTCTGCGCTAGTGGCAGGACTGCACCTGCCACAGGGGAAAACGCGTTGCGGTTATTTATGAGTCATTCCCTGTTTTCTTTATATACACAAAACGCAAATAAACCGCCAGAAAAACTTGTAAAATAAGCAAAAAGGAACTTTCACGGTTCAGTCTCTCTCGTTTCGAGGTCTGCAAAATGGAACTTTTGACTCGCTTGCGAAGCGAGCAAAAAAGTTTCCCAATTCATGCTGGGTTATTTTCAAATGAGTACAATTTTGAATAAATAAACGTATTACATTTGAAATTACTTTTTCCAAGGGAATAACCAAATTTCCCTGAGCTCAAAGTGAAATAAATTACTGTCGGAGAATTCCCTCATGGATGGCTGTGTGCTAAACAAGATCCACTTATGCTAACGTATGTTCATTATCTCATTATCATTATATTATCTCTGTTCGTTGCCTGTCCTCCGCATTAAAAGCCAAAACAACGACATCGTCCGTCACCTTAGTCCTGCACGTCATGTTTGTGAGTAAGTCATAATCTCGAATGGCGCCCCAAAAAGTACGTAATGGAATTTGTATTATGATGTTGCCGTGTATCGTGAAATTATATTCGAGCTACGATTATTAGGTAACAACATAAACGGAAACGGGAAAATCTTTGATCCTGGCCTTGGGCCGAGCCTCGCCTGAGGGAAAACAGAGGCCTTCAATGTAACTAAGTTAAGAAACTTACGCAAAAGCCACAACAATGCAGTGAAGTGTAATGGAGTGCAGTGTACATAAATATATATATATATATATATGTATAGTGGATCAATTTATATTTGCGACACCATTAAGCAGCGGAACGGCGTGGGGGCAAGTGCGAGCAACTGCGATAAAGATGTGCTCGCAGCATGTTGATATAATAAATAATAATGAATCCCTTGGACAAGGGATTACGCTCAATCCTCAAGCGAACACACACACACACACACACAGCGAGAATGTTGAATAGGTTTAGTTATGAATGCATTGCGTATTGAGGATTAGTTGAGGAAGTTGAAAGCGCCCCAGCCTTACCTTCGTCCTCGTCCTCGTCGTCATCGTCGTCGTCGAATTCCGTGATTGCCGCCTTATCGAAGGGACGATCAATGCCATTTGTTGCTTCGGATGAGGCACCTCCGCCTCCTCCAGCGCTGCCAACGTTCGGCGCCTTGGCATCACCATTGGAGGTAATTGAACTTGATTTGGCGTGATTTGTATGATTGTTTGATGACTTTGCAGAGGACTGAAGAGCTTCGTTCTCCATTTGCGGAGCACTCGGCTCCGGCTCCCCATTGCTGACCGCGTCGATGGCGGCGCCATCCTTCGTCTTCAGCTCCTGGCTGGTGTTGCAGCCCATTATATTTGATTTGATTTTAAGTCACTTGTATTGGTGGGGTGGTCTCTATAATTCCAGTTGGCCTAGGTTACCAAATGCCTTTTGTTTAATCAATTACTCACACAAGCGCGCTCATAAACACCACGCACACACACACACACACACACACACATACGCACACACACAACAGTTTAAGCAAGTTATACTTGTTGTTTGTATTTTGATATTATTTGCTGGATTTATTTATTTGGGCAATTTGCACTGTGACGCTCACGAGTAGAAACCTTTTTGCATAAAATTGTTAGAAAAATACGGATTGGATTTCTGTTTTTGAATATTTGGAATGTTTATAAAAACAGTTAGAAAAAGGTACACAACCACAGATTACCAGCCAGGGACTTGCTGAACGGAAACGGCAACCAGACTCGCTCACACACTCGCTGACTGACTCACTGACTGTCTCTGGCACAAGCTCAGGCACAACTGACAAAGGCCAGCGACGCGTCAACACTAAGAATGGCCAGGACCCTGGGTGTCCTTACTGCCATCCTGCAGGAGCAGCAGCAGCAGCGGCAGGAGCAGGAGCAGCCACAGCAACAGCAGCAACTCCGAGCTCACCATCGCTTCCCGGCGACACTCAACGACACCAGGCAAAACCAGGCGAGAGAGAGAGAGAGAGAGAGCGTGCCCGAGAGAGCTCTCACAGTGCTCTCACTCTCTCTCTATCTCTCTCTCTCTCTCTCTCGTGGGGCTCACAGTGGGCAAAGCTTTTACAAGCAGAGTTGCTGGAAAGTTGAAGTATTAGTTGGAAGGTTTTACGCTGAGATTCAACATTCAACCACTGTGTAGGCTACAAAATTACCGAATCTGAGAGCAGGCGAGTGAGTGAACAAGAGAGAGCACGCTTTGGCTGCAACATTTTTTCGCAAATAAACAAACCGACAACCAAAGCCGACAGCCGACAGCCGACAGAGGCACACAGAGATACTCCTAAGAGTGGGAAACAAAATCGGTTGCGGCAGCAACAGAATCCAAAGAGCAACGCAACAGCAGCCGGGGCATTGTCAAAGGCAATGGCATCATCATCATGGAAGCTACGGTCACACTCCCACTTTCACTCCCACAGCCACACAGACAGTTACGTGCAGGCAGCGTGTGGCTGAATGGTGGAAGGACCCGGACCCGGACTATACTACAAAAGGGGCACCTCATCCATAAAGATATCAATGAATACTTTCTTGTGTTGCTTCTTGGCAGAAAGCAATTCATAAAACTAACTGTTTTCCCTCTATCTGCCTCTGCCTCTGCCTCTTCTCCTTCCGCTGCTGCTGCTGCTGCTCAGCTGTCACTGGCCATCTACTTCGCTCTTCTCTGGCTTGCTGTGTATTTATTTTTGGCTGCGTCCGCTTTGGGCTTTTGGGAAGTTGGCTCTTCGACTCCAATCTTTCACAGAAATGCTCGCTGCCTGACTTTCTGTCTGACTGCTCCGTGTGTCTGCGTGTTGCGAGGCACTCGCAAATGAATTGGTAAGCCTGTATTGTGTTTGGTCTCTTTCCATTTCTCTCCACCTCCATCTCTACCTCTCTCGCTCTATTCATTCCCCTTTCCCAGGCCACCTTTATGGCTGCTCTAAGCACACAGGGTGACGTGTCCATCTTCACGTTGAAGTGAAAAGAGAGAGAGAGAGAGAGCTCCTGCATACGGTATTCGTATGTACGCAACATTCATGCGTAATTTTAATCAAAAATGGAGCTCAGCTTAGACCACATTTGTATGTGCATATGCAAATGTTCTTATACATAATAAATGCGGCAAACACCCTGTATGCAAATGGAAATATTTGTCAATTACAGTTGCATTTTTTAAAGTGCAAAATATAATAATGCAACCACAACACACACACAAAAAAATGAAAATGAATCTCTATGATTTAAAGTTGATTTCAGCTAAAACGTTGTTCCCAGTGCATGCCAGATATCAAAGCAGATAAAGTGGATGGCACTTGGGAATACTTGTAGTAATCCTCTTTAAATTTTCGTTTAATCTCTCTCAACTGTCTAAAGCCAGAGCCTAGGCAAAAAGGCCAAACAATTAAGTGTGAAGAGGCAGGAAACAGCTGCGGTTCTGCCCTTATCCTCTGCTGTACGAGAGCATTTGCACTCAGACAGGCGGCACAACGACAACAACGATACGAACAAGAGACTGCAGCAACTGTCGTGCTCCACCAGAGCTGGTCAGGACAGCCTTGAAAAGCGCGAATTTGCGCACCCAAAACATGTCAAGGCTGCCACCGAACAACATGGTGTGAAAACGCATAGACCACAAATTCCAACATGCTCTCGACTGACTGGCAATCCCGCTGTCGGTCCGCTGGGACTTGAAGCATTTCGCCATGATGGCAAAAACGCGTGCGACACATAAACCCTTTTTGAGGGGGGGATAGCGGCCTGATAAGATGACTGACAACTCGAGACAAGAGCGATGGATGGGCTGGCAGAGTGTCCATGTAGAGGCTGGGTTTTGTTAACCAAAAGCTTGCGCATCATTTGGCGAGGCAAATGCCAAGTCATTATTCTCCACAAAGAATATAAATAGCTTTGTTTTTAGATAAAATTCCAGGCTTTTCGATTTGTTCTCTCTCTCTCTCTCTCTCTCTGTCTATGAGGGAAATTACTGTCCTGCCCTGCCTTGCCCTGAACTCTGGCACTAAACACCTAAACAGCATCGAATGGCATGCCCTGCCCTTTGCTGTGTCCCAGGCTTTGGGTCTATTTTATTTTATTCTTTTCTGTACGAGTATGCTCCTGGGATGGCTGCCAACTGGAAAGTTTTTCACGTCCGCTTTTTTTCCCTGTCCGAAGTCTGAAGTTCAACGGTGCGCAACAATTCGCAGGTCTACTAGAAGAACTCACAATAAATTTAAAATGAACATTGAGAGTCGCAAATTTAGGAATTTAAGATGTTCTCGTTTTATGCAAGATATTCTCATAATTTACAAATATAATTTTGGGGGCATTTGCTCTGATTTCTAAGTAAAATATCTTGTCTAATATTTAATGTATCTGTTGGGAAATTTGCTGATTTTCTTGTCTTCAGTTTTGAGTTTGTGCTTTAGTTGCTTTGTTTAGTTGACAACGCTGCCTCATTAGTTATTTGACTTCCGACCTTTGACCATATCCATACTTATATGTATTTGTATATGTGCTCTCGTATCTGATGTCATTTAGCACACATTGAACTGTGCGATACAATAATTCATTTTGCCACCATCATTTGTTGTCGACTTCATCTGACGGGCTGATTTGTGTCGCTACAGCGAAATTCGCTAAGGATAATTGAATTAGTCGAGACATGATACATGTACGGATGGAATGAATTTGGTGAACGTTTTCCGTGGCATTCCAATTAATAATACGCCCTGGTGGATGGCGCTAAAGTGAAATATTCGTTGTGTGGGATTTAATTAATGATGGTAAACCAAACCATTCAAGTTTGGGGTGAGTTTCCACTCGAATTCGTTTGGCTTTAGGAAAAGTGTTGCATATTGCATGGAAAGCAGAGCATTCATGGCCCATGCTCGTATCTGCCATTCCTAGCCGGCGCCTGTCGTGGCTGCACTGGCTGCATGCCAAGCCAATATTAACCGGCGATATGAGCAGACAATAGATGGCTAAGGGGATAACGGCTGTCTGTGTGTGCATGGAAAGGCTTTGGCTTGGAGATAGGAGCTTGAGGGGGGCGTGACAGACAGGCAGACAAGCGGCAAACCAAAAAATGACAGTTCGTATGTCACAAGTGCTCACTGTTGACTTTAAAATCACATTCAAGAGTTCCCTGCTCCATGCAGAGACATACACACACACACACACACACACACACACACACACACACATGCAGATTTCCAGTTCAATTACACGACTGGGGCGTTGCATGCCACGACTGCAGACTGCCACAACTCCTGCAGGCAGCTGAAGCTCCCTTCCTCACTGTGGCTGTCGCTGGCCACCCACACACACATGTTTATTGAAAGGTTACATGAATGACACACACGCCACAGAAATAGAGGCAGAAAGTGAAGCACCACCCACCCATCCACACAGACATCGACATCGACTTCGCCATCAACATCGACATCGACCCGGGGGCAGGCCATTTGCATTGGCTGCCTGTATCCTTTTGGATTCGTTCTCAGTTCGCAGTTCTCTCCCCTCTGTTTTTCAATGCATTAAGTGAATGTATCTGATATACAGTCGCACACAGGCACAAATATGCATGTGACATGACAATGGGCATGCATTTAGGAGCACGAACATGCCGGAGACGAGCATCGAGCAAACGAGAGGCAAGCAGCAGCAGCAGCAGCAGCAGTCTGCGGCCAATTGCAACAGACGCCGCTGTCTGGCAGCTCGTTACGTGCCGTCACGACACTCTTCCCCCCACTTTTGGTTTACCCCTTAAAGAGCTTCACACAATTTGTTGACTTTAAAGTACAAACAAATCTACATGGATATTTGTATATATTTACATTTTTCTGGTCATTGACTAGATGTCCCTTTTTGGCTTTGCTTGATGGATGATTTTTGGAAATTGATTGATGTTGGAACTTTGAAAACTTGGCAAAGATTGTAGCTGAAGATTGAAAAGGAAATCCTCAAACTTAATGAGTTAATCAATGTCTTAAGCAAACCTTACTTCAGCAATCACTTATCTCTACCCGAAAATTCCCTAAATAAAGTTCAAATACATTAAAAATGTGCTACAAAGTCAATTCTACAAGCAGGCATTATGTTAGCGTTATGGTCGCCCATAAACTTATTTTCTAAACAATTTAACGAGCTCCAATAAAAGACTCGGACCCACAAGAACAAGGTCCTTTGCAGCCATAAATCCGAATGTTTCGGGGCTTTACGGTTGTAATTCGACACCTCACCGACAACGGACAACCCCATTCACACAATACGTGACCTGGTCGCGTTTTTAATTAACAATTTCGTAGAACAGGAGAGGCAAGCCCAAGTCCCAGGAACACGTGTTCCGGACTGTATGTAGGTTTCTGTCTATGTGGCTCAGGGGGTTCAGTAGGGTTTCTTGAATTAAGATAATAGCTGGGAAATTACAAAGAGCACTCTCTTGGGGAGCCAGGGAAATTGAAGGCCCTATCCAAATCAAAAAGAATGGGGGAAGGGAACGGCTAGAGCTCGCCCATCGAGGCTACAAAATCCGGAAAAGCTAAAACATACAAACAAACATTGGGCGCACCTTCAGCGCATGACGCAGGCTGAAACCTTCTTTTCAAACTGAAAACCCTACGACATGCATTTTAATTACATTGTTTTTTGCACCTTAACGTGTGGATCTACCGTAAAAGCCAACACCAACAACTACAACAATACATTTTGCATTGGCCAAAAAGGAACAACAGCACTGCCATGAAAAGCTTCTTAAAGGCAAACCGAAAGCAGAGGTGCCAGGTAGAGGAAGGACCAATGAAACCTGGATGCCCCCTTTCAATCAAAGCATTTGGGGCGAATTTTCTGGATTCGTCTGAATTGTGCAGGATTTTGTACTTAAACAGAAGTATATAAATATAATTGTAATAATGGAAATCTAATATTTTAGAGTATACCTTTGGTCGGATTGGAAGAGCATGCCGTGGTATGGACTTTGGTAAACTGAAGCGAGGCATGTGCAGCAATTAAAACTAGCTGCCACTCGCTCACATGAAGAGCGGGAAGAGAGAAGACCTCAAGTTCCTGGGGCCAAAGGTGTGGACAAGCCAACGTAACGCCAGCACCTGCTACTCGGCCAGAGTAGCGTGGGTGCGTTCAAATTCCCTCTTCTGTTGCTCTTTCTGTTTGGCTAGTTCCGGGCTGTGTGCGATGGGGGGGGGGGGGGGGGGGGGGGGGGGGGGGGTCAACTTTGGTCAGTGATAAAAGCGAAACGATAATTTCCCCACACGTGTATTTGTGTGTTGTTTGGTTTGTGGTAAAGTGAGCATTGACATGCAAATTTGCATTTAGAGGAAAAGCTTTTTGACGGCACGAAATGCCCAAAACAGGGAATGGACTTACATTATTAGTTGGAGAATAAATGTAGACCAGGCCATGTGAAGGTCACAGTTGAGTTCTATGTGCAGCTGCTGTTGCAGCTGAACTTTATTCCGAGCTGGTAGCAACTCAATTACATTGTGTTCCGGGGCTGAGGGGCGCTTTTTGGTAGCTCCAGGCCACGGCCCAGCGTGTGGTGTGTCCCTGATGAAACTCCGTGGTGGTAACATTGTTGATCTGACGTTCCTTCAGGTAGTCCAGGATCTTGGGCACGTTGGCCTTAACACCCAGCATGCTGGTGAAGATGCTGAAAATGTCAACGTAAATTCACTTTAAGCAACTTATCTCTAATTAAGATTGACTCACAGCACGCGCTGCTGGTTAAGCCGGCTCTCCTCAATGATGCGCTGAACGAACTGCACCTCGCCCCCCTCACAAGTCAGCTCCTCGGCACTGCCAGTGCGCACGTTGTTCGGCGCTGGTCGTCTCTGGGGATTGCGAGTGTTGCCCCCGAACGGATTGGGGGAGTTTGAGTCGAAGAAGGGTGGATTACACAGGCAGAAGTGGAATTCCTTCTCCAGTTTCTCCGACTCAAAGTAGCTCTTGAAGATGCTGGACTTGTCTGGCTGGGCATAGACTTCAATGCGGTCTTCCAGGTTGTTTCGCTTGACATTCTGCCGGGCATAGACAATGTTTTGTTGCTTCGACTCGAGGGCAAGCATGTTCCAGCCATTCTTTTTGGCGCCAAGCAACGAGTAAATGCAAGAGGAGCCACAACCTGCAGGAAATTTATATCAAATACACTGACAACGAAATTAGTACAAAACTTGCCAATATCAATGCCCCGCACATTCTCTAAATTGAGCGGCTCCAGCATGTCCTCCAGCCAGAGGATGTAGTTCAAGCGCAGGGCCAAGGTGGGCACCAAGCTGCCGGGTGCAAAATCCACGTTCAATTCAAAATATTCTTTAAGCAGCATCTTCGTCAGTTCGCGCAAGGTCTTCTCGTTGCGAAAATTAATCGACACCTTGCCAGTTAGTTCCTGTTTAAAGAGAATTTGCAATTAGTTCCTGGCTCCACGCTGCGGCTGCATCCAGTAGATTCCACTTACCAATTCGCAGACTTGTCTGAAATCTTTGTGCTTGATGGCCAGCTTGGTGTAGTCGGGCGGCACACGCAGAATATTGCGCGGATGCATGGCATACTTGCTTTGATTGTTAACCATTTTATTTGGATTAATTAATACCGCGAAATGCCGGGAAGCTGGAACAGCTGAGTGAGTACCTATCGAACTATCGGACAATACCTCGTCGTGCTGACACACCATGGGCTGCAAAAACATCGATTGCCAATATATTTAATATTATTGCGCAGCCGCAACATGTCTTGGCCTGGAAAATTGTTAATTACGTTTGAAAACTTCACCGCTGGCTTGCCAGCATTGACAAATGACAAAAGTGCAACGGTCTGCCCCAGCTCCTGTGATTGCCAATGTAAATGCTGTCGGGGTTTCAGCCAAAATTACGTTGCCTTCAATGGAGAACCTGTTGCGTCCTCCTCCACTGGCGGCGATGTCCAGAAAATGATGCGTCTCAGCACAGTGGACATGCTGCTGCTGCTACAGTCGGCACAGGCGCGCGACAATTTCTGGACAAATAATTTCTACAAGGCCAATCTTCAAGAGGATTATCAGGCGATTGTGGATGCCTTCGCATCGAGGCGGCGACAGGTGGATCTTGGGAAACTAGAGCCAATTATGGACACCATTACAGCTGGGTATCGACGCGCGGTGGGCCTTCTGCGTGGTGCCGAGGCCCATGGAGAGCTCCGGCCAAGCGCTGTTGCCCCAGCATATCCGGGACTGCGTTGCGGCTGCTTGGATTGTGAGAAATGGCCCTGGCGAACCCTCCAGCAGGTGGAGGAGCATCAGCGTGAGCACAGTCTGAGCTACAACTGGCACTGTCGGATTTGCTATCGCAGATACTACCTTCAACACATGCTCTCCTCTCACCTGAAGAGGAACGTGCGGCGCGACGGCTTCGGACAGCTAATGGAGAATGAAACGTACAAACAGCTGCTGAAGGATCAAAAGAAACAGGAAGTCGAATCGTACCAATCACCTCCTAAATTCCAGGAGATGATTATCAGCATACCCCAGGGCGTCCATCTCGACTTTGTGAGGGAACTGAGAGTGGGGTTATTGAAACGTAAACGTTGTTATCTCAGCAATTGTCCGCGATGTAATCACGAGTATCACTTTCCTTTCAGCCATCAGCTGCACATGCGCCGACATCAAGAACAGCGCAAGAACACCACCAGATCGTGCCCCACCTGCTGGCGGTCGTTCCGTACTCGTGCATGTCTTCTGAAGCATCAAAAAAGAGCTCGCCTAGCATGTCGTCTGCGGTATCGACCCTTCAAATGTCGCAGTTGCCGCTGGAGATTCCAAATGTGGTCGGCCCTGAAGACCCATGTGCTCCGGATGCATCAGCGAAGGAAGCCATGTCTGATATGCCAGATGCCCACAGTGAGTCGTTGTTGCTGCGCCCACTCAGCCGAGGAGTGCCGTGATGCTATTAAGAAGCATCGAGAGATGCTGCGCCTGCAGCGTGGACCCCCGAAGGTGGACAGGAAGCAACCCAAGCCGGTTTGCGGCATTTGCTCCCAAGAGTTGAGCAACAACTTCCTTCTGAAAGAGCACATGAACAAAAAGCATCTACACCGGCGAGATTTTTCGTGCGAATTCTGTGGATTGGCCTTCTACAGCCAGGGCTTGATGCAAGTCCACCGAAAAGCGGTCCATCTAATGGCGAAGAAAATACACTGCGAGGTCTGCGATCTCACCATCAAGGACAAGAGCAACTATAAGCGTCACTGCCAGAGCCAGAGGCACCTGGATCAGATAGTCAAAGCGTCCAAGGAGCGGTGCGAGGAGCGGTGCGAGGTGAAGCCTTTCGAGAGCCAGAGATCAGGTGTTTCAGTTCACTGTGAGACGTGTAAAGTCACCCTCAAAGGCGACATCAACCAGCACTTGCAGACCATCAAGCACAAGCGAAATGTTACGAAATCAAAAGAAATTAAAGCGGAAAAAAAGGATTCCTTGGAGCATTCCAGCGTGCGCCAGGAAGCAGTAGTTGGCTCGGAGCCATGTAGATTCCAGAAACCCGAAAAAGTGAATTACTGTGATATTTGTGATCACACAATCATTGGAACTATGCAGAGACACTTAAAATTGAGAAAGCATAGGAATAATTTAATGAATGATAAGGGAAAATAGAAACTGTGGTATACAAGTGTTAATGTTAATTGTTAATATTTATAAGCAGCTGGTAAAATGGAGGTGTATTATTAATTATTGGAAATAATACTAATACTAATCCATACTAAACTATACTATCGGTGGTATACCACATAGACACAGGAGATAATTTCCCTGACCGATTAGACACAGGAGAGAATTTAAGGTCATAAGTTATACAATCTAATAAAAATGAATATTTATAATAAGTCAAATTGATTATTAAATAGCTTTAAATTATTGTTTCAGTGTGAAAAGTCTTTGCAAGCTAGTAAAATCAAATTGAACATCAAAATCGAGGAATATGATTTAAGACTACAGTATATTTTGAAAATGAGTAGGTGTATTTTGGTATATTTCCGAGGTTCTGTTATCGATAATTCCTCGGTCACACCGAATCTAAAATTTTATATATTAGGCAAATGTAAGGTCATAAGGTATACAATCCAATAAAAACGAGTATTTATAACAAGTTAAATTGATTTTTCAATCGGATTAAATTATCGTTTTAGTGTCAAAAGTCTTTTCAAGCTGGTAATATCAAATAGAACATCAGAACCGAGGAATATGACGTAAGACTACGGTGTATTTACGGTATATTTTTAAAATGAGTAGGTATATTTTGGTATATTTCCAAGGTTCTGGTATCGATAATTCCGCAGTCACACTGGCGGTAACACTGATTTTCAGCTTGCAGCGTGTTGGCCCATACTAAATTATTGAAAATAAAGGTTAGTAAAATTAAATTGACAAGTAGTTGCTAAGCCGTCGATTTTCCTCCTATTTTTGGTCGAAAACGCAAAGTGAACTAGGTTAAAAAGAGTGTTTTAAATTATAGCCTCAAAATTTTCCATGATGATTTAGAGAAAACCAATTTTTTGTGTATGTATATGTGTGTCTGTGCGTGTGTATGTACGTCCTCGTTTCTTCATGGCGAAAAAATCATGCTGTGAAATCAATAAAAATGAGAGCAAATGATTAGTGCAATATTATTTTCAAAGTGATGAAGGATAAGGATTAAACAGAATGTGGTCTGTGGGGAATCGAAAAAATAATATAAATGAATCACTTGGAAGTACTCGCACAAAGAAAGTTATGTGTGCGTGTGTATGTATGTACACATATTCATGCAACAAAATGGCGGAGGCACATCGGAAAATCTCAAATGCTGTTGACGTTGCCTCTGCCAGTGTCTTTCCTCTTCGGGATGACCCGCCACCCCTGGTGGGTGAGTTTGAGTTTTTCGATTTTCCATCGGCCAGCTTCACTTTGTGTATCCTCCGTGTGCGCCTCAATCTCGCTGAGATCTGTGAACAAACACGCACACAAATGCATGCGAAATGTGTTTGTATTGTTGCACTTTGTTCGCCTTCTTTTCGTCATTGTAAAAATTGAGTACGCCTTAGTGGGGAAGTAGGAGGAGGCGAAGGCCTCTGAGATCGGTTCAAGATTCGAGATATTCCATCTTACTGCGCACACATCCAAGAGATTTGTATAACGTGGGTGTGCCATTTGGTTTTGGTTAGTTAAATATGCACCTCTCAGCCCCAGCAAACACTTGTACACGAGTCACGCGCTGGAATTGAGGTCAAAATCATCCACAACTGGGTCTTTTGCCGTGGCAGAGGGCCCGAGGCGCGGTCGGGTCGGGGTCGTCGACGCCTCGTTGCAGTGACTCTGCCACGGGGTGGCTTTTCACATTGGCCACTTTTGGGGAGGTGTTTAGAAGACATTGCAGGAAAAGTTCTTGCGAGTCGATTATGGATATACACACGTACAAACAGACTCGAGGCTAGGCTTAGGGCCAGGGTTGTTTAAGCTGTTTCGATACACACACACCCTAACATACACACATACATACGGTTGTATATGTATGTACAATCAATTAAGGCAAGGAAAGAAATTTCAGCTAAATAAACAGTGACTCATGTCCAAGTCTGCAATGTGGGACTGTTTACCACTTTGTCGTTGACTAAACACGCTAATCAACGCTCGACTATGCCTAGTATATGTATGTGTATCGGCGGGAGCGACTCTGTTTATTTCTCGGGGTCAAGGCACTTTAATTCGATGGCGCAGAAGACCAGCATCGAGCGAGTGAGATAGGTAGCAGGCGAACGAGCAGCAAAGCAGAGGCCATAAACCTCCACACAAAGAAAGGACACTGACACTATGGTGCGCCGTTCTTGCGCATCGGCGGAGGGCAGACACAGCTTCTAGCCAGCAATTTGGTTATTTTTCGTGTCCCCACCCCCATCCCTCTCGCTCCATGGTCCGCATTCTTCCAGTTTCAATTGTGGGCTGGGCTATGAGAGTATGAGCGTGAGAGCAAACAAAGAAAGCTGGAACAAAGAAGTAGAGAGAGCCACCATATGATTCTATGCGAGCGAAAGTAATTCAAGTTGGTTGAACTAAAGTCCATATTTTTCATGAGATACATCTAGAAAATATTGATTTTTTCACACTAATATCGTTAAATATCAGCAAATTTATGTGCTGAACTTCCAATGGATGGCAATGCTTAACAAACAAAGCAAGTGAAAAAGAGATCTAGAGAGTGTGTGAGTGAGAGAGAGAGAGCAGAAAGGGGAGAACAGAACAAAGCAGCAGAAACAGTGAAATGAACTTGAGTTTGTTTTATTTGGCGAGGTTATTTCCATTAAGTATTTCCAGTTTGCATTGAATGTTTTTCCGAGTGCAGGTGCTCAGTCATGTACATATGTGGAGAAAATAATTGTAATTATCTATGTGGAAGCTGTCGATTAGTTTTCCTGTAAATTTGCGTCACAATAGAACGTGACTGTGTAAGAGCTGGAATTAGAGTTGTGATATTTTAGTCTTTCCTTTTCCGTCTCCCAAGTCGGGTATAAATTTGTTTTGTTTTTGATTCCCAAATTCCATCTTTGCTTGAAACAGGACTCCCATATACGCAAGGCAGCCCAAGTTTAACGGAACTGAGAGACTAATCCCCAGTTTCCACGCAGGCCACAGCTGAAGAAGACCAAGACTTAGACGAAGAAGCAACCCAACCGAACGGAAGGAACGCGTCCACTCCACTCCAGTCTCAACGCAACCTACACCTTACCTTGTCCCTGTGTGCGTGCGCGTGTGTGTTGTTTGATTTGTGTGTGTCTCGTTTCTGTGTTGAAGGATCAGACCAGATCCGACCAGGAGGAGCAACCAGCGGATCCCCCAAACGACCGACCGACCACACTCTAGACAGATCTCGCTCCTTGCACCTGTGTCCACAGCTGCAATTTATATTTCGCCCCGAGTTGATCAAGAAAAATCATCACCATTCCTCTATCAACGTTCGACGCCGCTCCCCTTTTGCACTCTTACGACGACAGTCCGCAACGTTGGGAGCACACCAACGGGCACCAGGCAGGCGTCATCATAGATCAGTTTCGGAGCGGTAAAACGATCACCATTGAGGGAGGCACCAGCACCGGTGATACGACGAGCATCGGCGGCGGCAGCGATTTAAGACTGGTAATAACGGCGAACCCTAGCGAGATCGAGCGCAATTACGATCAGCTTACCAATCGTGGTGGCGGCGGAGGCGGTGGCGTTATAGGCGTCAGCTGCGGTGGCCAAACACCACCGACACCAACGGTCGGGAAAACCCTGCTCAACACCAGTCCCAATCTTTTGCCGATTACAACAGCGACTGACACGTTCAACAACCTTAAGAATCTGGTGAAGATCGACAAGGGCTCATCACCCGCATCGAATCAAGGAGGTGGCAACTATCGCAAGGGCTCGAACAGTTCTATCTACAAGTCGGGCAGTGGCGGTGGAGTATCCCCAGCCATAAGCAATAGCAACGAGGGTTTGGGTGGTAGAAACGGCAGCCGTTCATCTGGTGGCCCAACTGGACACTTTTCCACTGGCTATAGCAAAAATTCCGCCAAAATTCGTCAACACGATAGTGAGGTGAGCCCAAGACCTCGACGATCTTACCAGGGTGACTCGTCGTCGTCGCGTTACTATCAAAAGAATAGTGACATTTTGGGTCAAAGCATCAGCAGTCAGCAGCTTGGAAGCACCGACGGAAGCTACAACGGCTCTGGACGATATTCTTCGAGTGATCAGCAAGGCGGAGCGCATCGTGGTAGTCGCAGCTATCACTCCAACTCCGATGGCAGCTATAATCGATCAATAAACTCCAATTCCACCGGCGGTCCTGCTGGCGGAGCAAGCAGCGGAAGTGGTGGCGGCGGCGGCAGTAATTACCGCTCCTCCCGCAACTACGAAAACGGCAATGGAAGCAACGGACAACAGTCGCGTTACGGCAACGGCAACTCCTCGTCCAACTACAACGGAGCCGCATCGAGCTCAATTAACAAGTCATCGTCGTACGGGCATCAGCGTGGTGGCAACGATGGAGTCGTGAGCGGAGTTCGTCGCGAAGAATACCCCAACAACTACCGCGACAGCTACGAAGACTCTCCCTCACATCAACGATACAACAATACTAACAGCCAAGAGCGAAACGGAGGCTCTGGAGCAGCAGGCCCACGATCTGGTTACAATAGGGCCCCTGAGACCGATCGCTACGAGCGTGGAGCGCCCTCCAGTCGTCCTACAGGCGTTCGCAACGGAAATGCGCCTGCTCAGGTGTCAGCTTCCACTTCCAATTCTTCGAACATTTCTCTGAACAACTCCGCCAACTCGGCAGCCACTTCTCAGCAATTACAGTCGTCGCAACAGCATCAGCAGCAGCACCAAAACCAATCGCAACAGCAGCAGCAACAACAACAACAGCAGCAATCACAGGCAGCAGGAGGCACCAAGGCAAACACTCCGCCACCAATTACTGGTCGTTGGATACCACCATCTTTGCGTCCACAGCATGGACTTACCCAGAGCGAGAAGAACGATGCCGTGTTCCGGCGCGTGAGGGGAATACTGAACAAGCTTACGCCCGAGAAATTCCAGGAGCTGAGCGATGAACTACTGCAGCTTGACCTCAATTCGATTGTCATTTTGAATGGTGTGATCTTGCTGATCTTTGACAAGGCATTGGATGAGCCCAAGTATTCGTCTATGTACGCACAGCTGTGCAAGCGCCTGTCCGAGGAAGCACCATCGTTTGATAAGGAACCGAACAACTCTTGCACTTTCCTGCGACTGCTGATTGCCGTGTGTCGCGACAAGTTTAACAATCGGCTGAAGCGTGACGAGAACGACAACAGCAGACCGCCGCCAGAAAATGAGGCCGACGAGGAGGAACGCCGCCACCTGGCGAAGCAGCGCATGCTCGGCAACGTTAAATTTATTGGGGAGCTCAACAAGCTCGACATGCTGTCGAAGACCGTGCTGCATCAGTGCATCATGGAGCTACTGGACAAGAAGAAGAAACGTACGGCCGGTGCGCAGGAAATGTGCGAGGACATGGAATGCCTGGCTCAGTTGCTCAAGACTTGCGGCAAGAATCTGGATTCAGAACAGGGCAAAGAGCTGATGAATCAGTACTTCGAGACGTTGGAACGTCGATCAAAGTCAACTGAATATCCACCAAGGATACGCTTCATGCTAAAGGATGTCATCGAGCTGCGACTGAACCATTGGATTCCACGCAAGGTTGGCACCGCCGAGGGACCCGTCCCCATAAAGCAAATACGCTCGGACGACGACTCTATCATTCGCACCCCCTTCCCCAATCGCAATCGCGATATGCGCAACAACGAACGCGATGGCGACAGCTGGATGAATCGATTCCACTTGAATATCCAGCCTGGCTACAATGATATGTTCAGCGGGCTAAGCGTCACCGGATCCTCTCCCATTGTGTCCCCGTAAGTAGAGAATTTCAGTCTGGTATTCAAACTGTTTTTACATTAAATCTTCCTTTCAGATTCGCCACCAGCTCGAATCGGGACCGGGATCGCGATAATCGCCAGTACAACAATCGCGGCGACCGTAATCGCGACCAGAACGGTGGAGGCGGCGGCAGCGGTGGCGGTGGTGGCGGAAACTACAACAATCGCTACAACAAGCACAACCAGAACGGTGGAGGAAATATCGGTGGAGGGTCGTCCGGTAACCGGGACCGCGACCGTGATGATTCGCGCAGGAACAACGACCGCGACAGGGACCGCAACGATGGACAATATGGAGGTAATCAGCTGCTTGGAAGCAAGGAGCTAGCGCCGCGTTTCAAGCGTAATTTGATCACCACAAACCAGGATGCGGTGGAGAACTTGCAAATGCGCCCGGCGGCCAACTCCTTGCTTTTCCGAGCGGCCAACCAGAACCAGAAGTTCCCAGCCACGTTGCCCATGTCGACGCCACCCAACAGCAGTCAGAGCAAGGAACAGGGTCAGCTATCCAACTCTCACTATCCATTGTTGGGCACTCCAACATCCCATCTGATGAATCCAGCACGTCCATCGTCCACTCCGTCTGCAGAATATGCAGATAACAAGACACTGCATGGTATTCAGCAGGAGAAGACCCTTAAGGCGACTTCATCATCGCCCAACTTCAGCTCGGCTGGTGGTGGCTCTCATGAGAAACTGAATGAGCAGAACTCGGATGCCCAATCCGCAAAGTCTTCGATCGACGGCAAAGATCAACAATCCGTGGAGAGACCTATAACACCAGCTGGCAATGGCTCAGCCAAGCAAAATAAGAAGGATAAGTATACCAGCAAGGAGGAACTGGGCAAGAAGGCCACCATCTACTTCAAGGAGAACTTCTTTTACGAAGAGGAGCCAAAGGATGAGGAGGAGACAGAGGTCGAGGCTCCAGCACCAGCTGCAGAGCAGGAAGGTGAAACACCAGCACCTTCTGTCAAGTCGGACCGATTCACTGAGCTGCTGGAAGGATTCCAAGAGTTAAAATTACCCGAGAAGGCTCTGAAGGATGTGTGCATTAACTTGCTAATGGATGTGCTGGACCGTGCGAATGAAGTCTACTTGGAGCGCGTCGTGCGCTTCTTGCAGGCAATGCGCAAACAGTCGAGCATTAAGCCGAACATTATTGTAGAGGTCTTCAAGCAGCTGGTGAACAAGATGAATGAGCGCGAGGCTCTTAACCCGAGGATCACGGCCCTCGTGGCAAATGTCCTAAGCAAGACCGTTTGCGAGCCAGCTTTGCTGAAGCTGAACGACATCGCCAACTACACGGACAATGGTCAGCACTTCCCGCTGTTCCTTTTGGTGCTGCAGCAGCTGCACAAGAGCATTGGCAAGGAGAGTTTGGAGGAGAAGTTCAGAGCAAGCAAAATAGATCTGATGAACAGTCTGCCGGAGGTTGATCGAAACAAGGAGAGACTGGCAGAAATACTCGAGGATCGCAATCTTTCCTTCCTTTATCCGTTGCTTAAAGTGCAGGCCGAGATGATGAAGCAGCTGCTGAGCGATCCAAGTCCCCAAAACTTCTACAAGTGGATTAAATCGAATGTGGACAACAAGTACTACAAGGACCCCGGCTTTATTCAAGCCCTTATGACAGTAGTGGTCAAATATATAACCAAGGAGACGACATTGGCCCCCAATCTGGATCCAAAGGAAGCACCGGAGAAGTCTGTTACCCAGAAGGAGCAGCAACTGCTGGAGAACTACAGCCAGATGCTGCAGACCTTCCTTGGACAAAACGAACTGCAACTTATCGCGCTTTATGCATTGCAGGCGTTCTGCTTTAACGAGAATTTCCCCAAGGGTAAGTCGGTGAAGAAGAGACCCCTTCCCTGCCCCTGCCCCCTTTTTATTCGATTAGTTTAAAGTGCTAACCTCCTAACCATTCTCTTTTTACGTTTTAGGCATGCTGTGCCGCTGGTTCAAATATCTGTACGAGTCGGAAATTATTGAGGAGGAGGCATTCGTCTCGTGGAAGGAGGAGATTTCCGACAAATATCCAGGCAAAGGATCTGCCCTGTTCCAAGTGAACGCCTGGCTGACTTGGCTACAAGAAGCCGAATCCGAGGACGATGAGGATTAAGAAGCACCGCTCCGAATAACAAAAATAACAACAACAACAACAAAAACACTATTGTATATCACCTTAATTTATATTCACAAATTGATTACATGAAAAATAACAAAGAAAAAGCCACAAAAATTAAGCAGGATGAAAGTGAAAGTGAACGCTTGGAAACGCGGTTGCAAATCTTAGTCAAATTATAGTAGAAGAACCCACAAGTTAATCAAAATTATTTGATATCCATAAATGCAAACAATTAACAAATTAATATCAACAAATACAGACGTAACGAATAATTATTCCATGAAATATAAACGCAAACGAAAGTAGTAGATTTCAATTGACATTTCAAGTCACGTAAACGTTCGTAAACAATACAATTTTAATTTATAATTAGTAAATCTTAAATCTTAACTCAACCGGAACTGAGAACTGATCTATCGAATATTATATTCCCCCTAAATTTTTTGTTATCTTATCTCTATTTAATTGCCACTCGCACATTTCTCTTTTTTGTATCCATTAACAGTAGTTCAAATCAAACACAGCTAAAGGAATATAAAAATCATTAGATGTGCGCAGTAATTGCAGTAATCTGAATGTAATTGTGAACAAAATATCGTGCATATGTATTTTAACTCAAACAAAAATCTATAAAAAATCTGTCGACATTAATTAGAACTCTAATAAAAATGCTATTGAAGTCGCAGGAAAATACACAGTCTATTATATTAGTTATGTTGATATCCAAATCAAAGGGAGCAAATTATGCATATTTATATAACGATGATGCCCTGTGGCCCAGTGCCGCATTTCTTTTTCAGGATAATTACGGTCTGAGTTGGAGGCAGGAGCAGTGTGACCAAGAGGGTCCCATCTGAAGCTGAATCTTCTGGTAGAGAAGACTGACTCCTACGCTTCTGGCCAATAATAAGCAGGCATCACTGTATTGATGGACTTTACAGCAATTGAATTGGTCTTCATGTAGTTTCTTGAACACCACAATAGCTTCTCGTTACTTCATTTAAATTTGAACGGACTGTACATTTTGGCGGCAACTGACTAGCGAATGGTTAACCAGTACTGGTCAGCGCGATTCAAAGCTTTGCAACACTGTTTGCCCACGCCAAAATCTGCATTTCATTGTTTTGTTTATTTACTCTTTTCAAAGTGACATTTCTATAAGAAATTAACTTTAAATATAGTCAAACACATAAGTTGGAGTTAGAGACATGGAGAATCTTAGAATTTCGGATACAGCAGCAGCCGGAGATGCTGTACAGCTGAATGGCCACGGACACAACCAGGAGGCCGGTAGATTCACCTCACACATGACCATTTTGGACAATGGTCCGGCACAGTTTATAGTGCGTGTCCTCAAGATGAATGGCAGCACAATGCTGATAATAAATTCGAAGGAAAGTGAGGTTTTCGATGAGCTGGCGGTTGGCATGCCCCCACGCGACTCCACCAAAAGCGATGCACTCTCATCGACCATTATGGGTGGTTACGGCCAAACCGAATCATCTGTTCTGGCCGCCAAGCTGAGCAAGCGATATCGTCGGCAGTTCTTCGTGAGCTTAAACATTGGAGGAGATCGTCTGGTGACTCCGTTGTTCGAAAAATCGCTTGTCACCTATATGCAGAGCCATCTGGATCACTTCGTATAGCCAGGCCCTTCGCAAGGTATGTAGTGTGGCCTGTGATTAAAATTAAACTGCAGCAATATTTATTTATGGTTCATAGGCATAGCCAGCAATTGTTGACACTGCGCCGTGTGGGGGTCACAGGCATTGGGTGCGTTTATTTTGGTGATTGCTGGTTGCTGGCGACCCCACGGACGCCACTCTCTCGCCGCACAGAACTCCATTCTCCGCTCAGACGACGGCAACAACACAACACAACACAGCCAGCGTCATGCGTCGGACGAGTGAGCGCGAACTTTAAAAGTACAACAACGGAATTGTTTTAGTCTAATAAATTTACTACCCCCCCAAAAAAGTAAGTTTACATTCGTTCAATCTGCCTGCTGGCCAGCCCTGCAATCAATTGTGTCGCGATAGTATTCGGTGTGTGTGTAAGGCCGAGTTCACACGCTGTAGGTGTGCATGGCCGCATGCCGCACTCATGATCAGGTCTGTGTTCACGGTTGGATCTCGTTGTCGATGTACAAATTCAAGGCCAGTTCGTCTGCACGGGTAATGTTGAGTGTCTAGTGATTCCATCAGGTCCTATATTTTTGCCCATTTCCAGTACATTAGACAAAAAGATTTGCTTGGATAGCTAAGCTCTTCAGCTCTTCGAAAACTTGAAGTTTCACTTCCTGCCTGACTCTTATGAATCGAAATCTAGAGATAATCCAGCAGGCTGGCCAATTATTGCCCCCTTCAAGAATTTCTACCATAGAGTATATAAAAAGAAAAGACCCCAGCGGCTTTTGGGTAGTTGTTGGATCTACCATACCATTACGTGCATATTTGTTATTAAAACTTTTCCGTTAAACTTGAACAATTGGGCCTCTCGTGCGCCCAGTCTAGACGAGATATTGTCAGCCGTATCAGCGGCAGAAACAAACGCATATCGCACCCAAATAGCAACACCAATTGTATGTACGGGTATATAAATAGAGCCACTGCCGGAAGGTCTGGCTGGTGGCAGGCCATGGGCTCCCACGAATGTCTGGAATGGTCTTTTTGCTTTACGTTTTTCGCCATATCACACTGTCTGGGGATGTTGTTCGTTGGATGATAAGGCATATAAATAATAGATCAGAATCACCTATACATAATGGAGGTGACAAGAGAGGAACCCGTTCGCGTTTCCATGCCCCTGCTGCATGCAAACGTTCCTCATTTGGTGATGGATGCGTCTGGCTGGAGTACCGGGCAGCTTGCTGTCTGGATGGACTTTGGAAGTCTGTCGTTGTCAGCAACAAAGCAATTAGCCATCCATTGGACTCTGCAGTAACCACTCATATCAGCTCGCAGTGGGTCCACCGCCGCCCAGCGTCGCCACCGTCGCGACAAGATAACTCCAATCAACAATGTCCACATGACATGGAGCATTCTCGGCTGTCTCCGTTCTTGGCCGCGGTACGTGCATCTTCAAGATAAACCCGACTTGAGCACACGCCCGACCCAAAGCCTCTTATTGGACCCAATACACGGCTCGTTCCGAGATCTCGTTTGTGGGCTTATCAGCACCCAAAATCACCTTTGCCAACCACCCAGACCCCGTGCCGTTCGTTATCAGTCGAGTGTTGTTAATTTGACGGAAATATTGAACATCATCCCGTTGCCGGGAATCGCAACCAGATCGAACTGGATCCCAGAGTCCCGCATCCCGACTTCAAGTGTCTGAGATTTCGAATTTGTTTTTATTTACGTTCGCTTTGAATTCGGACCACGGAAAATTAATAGGCGGCACACACACGCTTCCCGCAACGGCTCCCCAACCGAAATTCGCAAATGTTTATATTATTTTTTTGTCTGTTATCAGCCCCGCCCCTAGTTAATGGACTTTGGGAGTGTCCGAGGGGGGGAATGGTCTGTGCATTCCCTGTCCATACATGTGTATGTGCAGTAGGAGAGCTGCAGGGAGGGAAGGGCTGCTCGTAGAACGTTTTGCTTATCAATCGCCGCTCGCGCCATACAAAGTTCAGAATCGAAGTCAGAAAATCCGGATTTCTGTATTGTCACCGCTGCCGCCGCCGGCCCGCTTCCATTTCGCCAATGATATTTTGGGATGATTATGTTATATGACCGCCAAACGCATGGCAAACATTAAATTAGGTTGCGCCTGGGGTCCTTCAGCGGCAGTCTTTGGCAAAGCAAATAGAGATTATACAGAAATCCGATCGCTCCCCAAGGTTGAGCTTTGAGCTGTGCGCGAAACTGTACTTAAATATGGGAGAGGCACACGAGGCAGCAGCTGCAGAGCAGTCCGTGGGCTGATTCCTCTATCTATTTATAAATCTGATGCTTCAATTCTCTCGCTCGAGTTTCCATCAGTTCGGCTTGATTAGCGATTGAGTGGGGAATGTACTATTGGCACTGAGTACACCTGTTGCGGAATTACATTTGCTGATAGTGGCCAAGAGCTTATCAAAATCAAAGTCAAAACCTCTCCCCTACCCGTTTCTTTATGTAATGCAGAGACCCCACTCGGTGGCCCGTGTGGCAGGCCTTGGGCTGCTAGAGAGGGAGGCTAGAGTGAAGGTTGTCCGTGCCCATGCCCGTGATTCACTAACTTTCGGCCGCCAGACAGTGCCTGATAGCGTGATAAGCGAAGCCAGCACCCAGCAGAGCGATACCAATGCCGTCGGCACCCCTGCATACACGCTTTGGCCTTAAGAATAGACTCACACGATTCCCGTTTCATTCACGTCATGGCGCAGAAACTTGGCTGATTTCGATATGGGAGCGGAACGGCATGTGGCGTCGGCATTTGTTGACTCGCCGTGAGATAACGGGACGGTGCGGTGCGACGGTGACTGCGCCTCCTGCTTTATCACAGCGGGCGCACACACACGCAGTACACGGTCACAGCTGGCACCTGGACTCGTGGTGGGAGGGGGCTTGTGGGTGGACCGCTGGCAGGCTGGCAGGCTGGCGGGGAATTCGACTTCGGCTACGGTACGAAGTGCAAGTCAGACAGACGAGCCGAGTAGCGTCGAAGCGATAACGCTTGCCCCCCAAAGAGCTTTACTGCGGTCTGATCATCGGGCGCACACATGCAGAGGCAGCAGCAACAGCAGCAGCAGCGACAGCGGCAGATCCGACGCTGGGTTTCCACTTGTGCGTTGATAAGGGAGCCCAGCCGAACCCACAGCACCTCCCATGCGTCCCACCAGACCAATCAGAACTATTGGAACGACGCTACACTCACGTACTGTGTGTGCGCCTTTGCCCCAGATCCACTTGCCCCAATGGATTTTTTCCATCACGTCCCCAATGCACACGCACCTGCCCCGCAGCCCCGCTGCTCGCTGCTGTTTTGGTTCCGATCGCCTTTCCCCCCTGGCACAGCCCACCCCTGGCCCGTCTGCAGCCTTCGGCTGATAAGAGCCTCCGTCTGGCCGCCCTTATCGGAATCCACGTTTCGAATATTACTCGAATGTCTGCAGGCGAGCGGTTCATTCGTTTGGAAAACGCGTTAGCGAACGCCTCGCCACAAGACACAAGTCACAAGACACAGAGAAAACGAATAGTTTTTCCCCTCTGAGAGCTAATCCAGTCATCAGCATGGATATTTTAGTACAAAAGTCGATCTTCAACAGCGGCAGAATCGGGGAGATATACGAGCCGCACGCTGGCTACTATTCGCCGTATAACACACCGCCGTACATAGCGCCGTATCCGGATCCCGGCAGCTGGATAGCGGAACAGCAGATGCAGCAGCACATCAGATTCCCCACGCCGCCCATCACACCGCCGCGTCCTGCCGAGCATCAGCAGCATCCCACGCCTCGCACATATTCGGTGATCATGAAAGTGCACAGCCAAGGCGACCTGTGTCGCAGTCCCGTGGAGTACCAGGACGAGAGCAAGTCCTGCAACAGCAGCAGCAGCAGCAGCGAGTGTGGAGCTGGCAGCGACTTCATTTGCAACTGGTTGGAGTGCGAAAGGTGAGCTTGGATCTCTAGCCATGGATCTGTATTCATGGACTTACGCTGCTTCGTCGCTTTTGCAGGGTATTCGAGACATTGGAAGCACTGGCCCAACACGTCAACCAGCAGCATGCCATTGCCTCCCTGACAGACGGCCTCTACTACTGCCGCTGGGCGGGATGCCAGCGCAGCGAGCGGGGGTTCAATGCCCGCTACAAGATGCTCGTCCACACGCGCACCCACACCAAGGAGAAGCCCCACAGTTGCCATCTGTGCGAGAAGTCATTCTCGAGGGCGGAAAATCTAAAGATTCACATACGATCGCATTCGGGAGAGAAGCCATACAAGTGCAGCTTCGACGGCTGCCAGAAGGCCTACTCCAACTCCTCCGATCGTTTTAAGCACACAAGGACACACTCAATGGAGGTAAGTTAACTCACACGTGCACAGCCCACTCCTCGATCACACATGCTAACCATCGTTTGTCTTCTCTTTCCCTTCCAGAAACCCTACATGTGCAAGGTGGCAGGATGCCAGAAGCGCTACACGGATCCCTCGTCGCTACGCAAGCACGTGAAGACCTTCAAGCACAGCATCCATCTAATTGCTAGCCAGCCACTGACTCTGCCCCATCAGACCCGCGCGCCGTATATGCTCGAGGCCAGTGAGGCCACAGCACCGTACAACTGTCTGCCCGCTGTCAGCGTTGAGTCATCCGCCTCCTCCTCCGCCTCCACTCGCTACTACCTGGAGCTGTCCAGCAACGAGCCCAGCGACTACTCGCGAAAGCACAAGCCAGAAGCGGAGTATTCCCCCAGCTATTGGCTGAACGAGAGGCAACACAGCTATCTGCAGAGCGAAGATTACTTCATGAGCATGGAGGTGGACTCCCCGCTCGATCTGCGCATGCACCGAATTTGAATCCGTCTCTCTTCCTACCCCACCCAACCCTGCCCTCTAGTCACTGCGCTGTCCCAGCTCTTGTCATTAATCTTAGGCTACCGCTTAACTGCAAATAAAGACTGTTGTATTTGAAGAACAACTTCCATTACTCACTTGCAGAAAGTACTTTGCGCGGCAGACACTTACGGCGAAGAAGAACCATTTTAGGTTTTAATTTATTTCTCGCATTTTAACACATTTGCTTAGTCTTTTCGATCTATTATATTATTTTCATTTGAATTGTTAATTGAGATGAATGGCTGATTCTCCGATCTGTTACTGTTTCCCTAAGATTTCCTTACCGAAGAATCGGGTGTGGGAAATGTGCTCATGGTTGAGCGATCTCTGGGGTGATGACGTAACTAACAATTAATAAGTAATCGATTTAATCTGGTTTCTTCTTATAGGAATGTTAGTTTTATCTAGATAACCTCTCGTTTCTTATACAAACAACAAGAACAAACTAAATATATATAGCAAAATTATTTCCAAATTTCAAATAGATAAATACACTTTGAAAGCGGTATCTGTGGTAGGTCTGTGTATGTGTATGTGTCTGTGTGTGTGTATGCATTTTTTACATACATACTTGCAACTTGTAATTAAATCGTAAAACATAAAAACCAATTTCTGAATTTTTGCACTTGCATCATCTTTGACATCAATTAAGGATGTACTTTGACCTGCAAAGGTGCTGGCGGCATCCCATCTCTAGCACCAGTAACCGTAACCATACATATATGAAATCAAAATTATGCCCTAAAGAATCTTACAACCCGTACAATATATTGTCGGCAAATGGGGCACTCGTTCAGCACTTTGCCACACTTCGTGCACGTGGCCATGTGCCCGCACTCCAGGAATACGCACTCAATGGGCGCATCCATGCAAATCTTACAAAGCTCATCCGTAGCCAGTTTTTCCACAGCTGAAATACACGTTAGTTGAGTTACCACTGGGAAAGCCAAGCAGCGGAAAGAGTATAACTCACCTGGTGTCGAGCGCATTGTCTTCCAGAGCCTGCTCACTCGATCCAGCAGTTCCTGTTTCTCACAGCAGCCTTTGTAGTCGACGCGATGCAACATGAGGACCTCCTTCAGCTGTTTCACTGTCAGACTCTCCAAATCATTTCTGCAAAGCAAAGTGAGAATATTTGTAGTATAATTCGTGTAGCCCAGAGAGCATCATCCACATACAAATCTTCAAAATCCTGCAAATTAACATAACGCGAATCAATGCAGGCCGCCGGCTCAAAGTCCAAGGGTGCTGCATACACATGAATGCCCTCGTCATCGTCCCAGTGAATATCATCATCCTGCGTCGGCGAGAACTCAATTGTTGGAGTAATGGGCATACCCGAAGATCTGCCACCAGCGGCCACGCTGATCGCCTCTCCACTCAGTGGAGAGACAGCATAGCTGCCCGCCTCAGAGCCTTCCACAGACTTTGTGCGCTGTTCCAGGTACGTGAGAAAGTCCTGCAGTTCCCTCTTGATGTCCTCCTCCGACATTTGCGAGTTCTCCAAATGACGCCGCATCTTCTCCACTTGCCGCCGAATATTTGTCTTGTTCTTCCCACAGCGCTGGCAGCTTGGGCGCTGCGAGTAGGTGGCAGGCTCTGGCTGTTCACTCAAAGTGGAGAGACCCAGACTAAGTCCACGTCCCCCAGAAGCCACCGGCGATTCATCATCGCTGGAATGATGGGTGCGACTCAAGTAGCCATCGGAGCGTCGTCGCGTGACTTTCTTGGCGCGTTGCGGCACAACGGGATAATGGTTTGGCGGCATAGGGCGCTGCTCAATGTTGAGAGTCTCTGTGGTGTGCCTAGCCCCTCCGACTTCGTCCGTGGCTGGTCGGCTGCGTAGAGTCACTTCAAGAATTTCCTCCGCGTTGCTTGTACTCGGTGTGTCAGCTGCTGGGTCGATCCTATTTACCTCCAGCACTTGCCACTGGTCCAGATTGCTGCTGTTGGTGTCTGTGGTGGTCTTGCTCTCGTCGGATATGCCCCCAATAGCGCCTAGCTCCTCGAAACTTGACTGTGAGGAAACGTCCGCCCCGCAGGCATCCTTGCCAGCATCTTCCATTATATGGGAGTAGCCTGGACTCGTGTTGGTGGCTGTCGTGGATGGACCTAGACCCAATTCAGCTGAGCTTGGCTCTGGCGCTGGATTGGCTTGCCCACTCGTGGCGCGTTCACTGAACGTGGCCATAATCTCATCATCGAAGCACTCACACTCGGATCTGTTGTCATGGGCTTCTTCAGCCGCTGGCCCGTTTTGGTTACCGCCACGGCTGCTTTGTGGATTGGCCTCAGCATCGCGGCTAACGGATGGCTGTGTGGAAGTCGACGGACTATTGCTGCTACGGCTACTGCCGTTCGTATTGGCATGGACATGGACCCGCTCTGGTCCACTAGAGCCGTTCACGGCACTGGCATATGTGGGAATCTCCCGCGTGGACACACGCGGCTGCTCAAATATGTGCGAGGGTGCTTCCGTGCCCCCTGCGGCTTGGCGGCCATTCTCGGGCGGCCTTGAACTTGCCTTTGTATCGAAGGAAGCAAAGGAATCACTTAAGTTGTCGGTTAGATTGGTAAAGAAATTTTGGCACGATTGTTTGATGCTATCAATAGGGTTCGCCTGTCCACGTCCAGGACTGTGGGGCCCATTGTTGGCTCGACCCGTGTCCACTTGGGCCACATGCGCCAGCACAAGTCCCACAAGTTCCTCTTTCTCTGCAAACAAAAGGGTGTCTGGGTAAAACTTTGGATCTGGTGAAATGGCAGTGTCTGACTCACCCAAACAGCCATCAGTGGAAATGTGCTTAGACTGCAAGTAGAATATTAGATCCTTCGGTTTCAGCTTTAGCAAGTCGGTCCGCAGTAGCGGTCTTTGAGCAAATATCGCACATCGCTGGCAGCGCCTGGCATCAATGCAGTTGCCGCAATAAAAGCGCCTTGGGTTCGGATAAATCAAATAAATAGAATTATTCTCGCATATCAATCACATGCACATGTATGTGTGTATGTGTACATGTGTGCATGCATGTTTGTTTTGCACATACGGATGTATAGATATGGATATTTATTTATGTACTCACTTGCAATCGAAGCAGGCGCGCTTCCGACGAAATACGGTGAACTCAACTCCGCAACTCTCGCAGGGCATAATTTGATTGTAGTTTATGAGCTTTTGTACCAGTCTGATCGACCATTTATCCTTGCCCTTCCTTCTCACACCCTCTATGTTGGCATTGCATTTGTTTTTCAATGTCAACTCTCTGAATCACTGGATACTCGAGCCTTTTTGCGCCGTTATCATATCTCCGTTGGTTGGAATGGTCTATGGGCGCAGAAATTCTGCCAAATACTTACTCATAACCAATCCAATAAAGCTTGCGAATGATTTTTATAAATTTTTATCAAAATAGCAATACATATGCGCAGTGTGACCGCGAATTACCGATAAAGTGGTATAAAAAAGAGCTTAACCCACTCAACACCCCTCCATTTAAACAGTTTAACACCTTGAGTTCAACCGCAAGTTCTTAAAAGATTCGTCTTTGATTATAAAAAATTATTGCCACGATATCTATCACCTGAACTCGGCTGATAATTGTGTAAGTCTCATAATATTCGTGCGTAACTTGAAATACCCACTGGTTCACAATGGGTTAAACGTTGGCAGTCCATGGTCGTAAATCATATTACTCGACTTTAATATTCGGCCTAATATTACTTGTAAGCTACGCCTCATAGCCCTGAAACTATAGTTTTATCCATATTTTGAATCAATTTTACACAAGATTGGCTTATTTTCAGGACTCACTTTTTAAGAAGAAACCAGGGTTTAAAAAGAAAAGGCCAACAAAAAATAAATGCACAAAACGTAAGTGGGCCTGAAATGTTATGTAGTGTAATGTTACGTCATTTGACCACTTGTTGCTTGTGTGGACATTTTTATACCCTAGTTTCAAAAATGGTCGATACCCTATTTAACCCACAGATATAGACACATACGTTTATATTTATTATTTGCTGCGAAGTCGCACAGATTTCACACAACAATTACACTCGTATCACGTATTTAGTTATTATTTATTTAATTCACATCCACTACTTACATTTAAGTATATAATTATATGCATTTAAATAGTTAAGTGCCATAAAATGTTGCAATCTTGTTTAAAATAATACATCGTTTAATTGCTAAATATTATACGGTCTGCCTTTCTGCTCTTCCTACAAGTCATTTAGTTATATACACATGGTTCCCGATGATTGAGCTTTTCCGAAGTTCTTGATAAGTCTTTAATTATATAAACAAATGCGTCCGTTGCCCCTGCTACTGCTACGAGCACAGAGAGTAAAGTGTGTGCAAGCAAGCTATTCTTCAAACTGCCGCGACTGATGAGTGTTGGAATCCTTAAGCAGCGCCAGCACCGCAACGTTTTTGTCTAAAGTAGCCACACAGGTGTATTGTGTGTGGTGTGGTGTGGGTGTGCGTTGGAAAGGAAACATAGGCAACAGCAAGAGAGCAAATGAATATTGAATTTGAAAATGTACAGTTCTTGTTTTATATAGAGTTATATATTGGCGAGTTGGAACGCTGCCTTAAGCTGCTGCTCTGAAGACAGATACTACGAAACGTGATGCAGATCCCCAGCCTTGACGTGGCTTTGAAGGAGATCATCATTGTTGTTGTCATCGTCGTGAATACCTGACAGTTCCAGCGCACGATTCTTTTCATATTCCACAAAGTCGTCGAAGAGACTGGGCCACGCTTCGGTGTCATCGTAATTGTTTATATCACATTGTTCCGTAAAGTTGAGGTACATGTTCCATGTATCCTTCGGTATGCGGCGTATATTCGGGTGCTTTTCGAGGAAGTTTATCCAGTTTGAAAAGAGATCAGGTGAGTGTACAGTGAACACTAGTTTCCACAAATCGATTGCCATCTCCAAAGAGAGGACGCGCTGATCTGGTTCCAGGCCAAAGCTGCGAAAACAAGCAAATAAAACGTGAAGTTTAATTATACTGAAATGAGAACATAGCAGCAAAGTGGTAAATTACCGAAAAGTGAAACGGTATAGCTGCTTGAACATCTCAGAGTCTGCCTTAAGCATCTCAATGGTTTGTTCGAGCCGCAGGCGAATGTTGGCTATTGTGTCCGCACGCATCTTGTGCAGGCCATCAATGAATTCTGTCTTGGTGAAGCGGCACATCTGAGAGGCATCCAGGCACCAGGCCAATACAAGTATTGCGAACTCATCGGGCTGATAGTTCAGATCATTGCATAAACGTTCGATGCCGTCAGTGAGTATCATGTCTTCATCGTCCGGGTCCTTGTACACATCGAACAGTTTGATTAGAGTTTGGTGTGAAACCTCCATCGATTCTTTGACGGCTGCGACGGAACGAAAGATAAGTCAAATGCACTCAAATGGATATATCTGGGCAGACCAAATTACTCACCAGTTGTTATGATATCGCTCATCGTGGGTGCACTTCCATTAAGCAAACCTAAAGACTTAAAACTATTACGCTTAGTATCACAATTGTTTGCTTTTACTGGCTTGAGTGGAGTTCGGCTAGAGAGCAACTCGTCAGTTTCTGCAATGTTGGGAGGTGATGAGAGAATGAGAATTTCGAATTGAAAGTAAAAGGTTGCTTGTTTTACGTACCACGTGGCCGATCGTTGTATATGGCGCAACGCTCATTCGCATTGGGATTGGGGCCGACCGATTCGTAGCAGTTGGCGAGGCTGGTGGTTTGGCAGGCGTTCGAGTGCGATGCGTTAGGAGACGAGGACGTTGGCAACGATTGTTCGGCAGAAGACTGGAAGCATTTCAGGCAATTGCCCATAGTGCGGGCGGTTTGGTGTCCTCCGCGACTTGCCCTGGCCCTGCACTTTGCTTCGCATATGCTTCCTTAGCACTGTCTAAATGGCAGACAATTGCACTTGCGTGTGTTGCGGGTCCTATGACTACTGGCTCTTGGCTACTGACTATCGGCTTGACATTGGCACTGCGGGTTCGCCCAATGACGCTCTGACGCATCGAACATATGGTGAGACTTCTTTGTTGCTGCTGCTGCTACGCTGTTATTATTTTGGTGCCCCCTACGCAAACGCACTGCTGCATGTGTCTGTGTATACATACATATATTGACACACGTCGTGCAAATACATCCAGCTGCAGTAATCACTGCCACAAAAGTCCTCGATACGAGTAGTTTTCACATCTTATTCCATTTTATTTTTGGCCGCACTCAAACATTAGTGTGGTGTGGCACATTTCCCAGAGTTTAATTTAATTTTTAAAATAATTTTTAGGTTTTTCTCTTCCTTGCAGTGTGACCGCGGTTTTATCAATTAAATATACCGCCTGCATACAAAAATATGCATTCTCAATTTTTAAAAATACCGAAATATACCTATGTAGGTCCACCATTAACAAATTCTTTTTAACAAAAGTTCCTCCTTCCTATCAACTATCGATGTAAGCATGTAAATATCTATGTAAAAATTTAATAATCAATGTAAACATGTAATTATCAATTTATATTTGTAACTATCAATGTAAAAATGTAAGTCGATGAAAGGAGTTTATCGACTGAGGTATTTTGCCGCCCAGAGGGCGCCACTGCAGAGCTCACAATTACGAAAAGTTTGTGTGCACTCGGGTTTAAGCCAAGCAGTTACCAATTTCACTTACTATCTTCAGGTTGCTCGGTGCATGGAAAAAGCGGTCTTGAACTCTACCAAAAAAAAGTACGTATGACCTACGTGTGTGTATTGGTTGAGTGCCTCGTCGGATCTGCACAATAGATGGTTTTTGGGCAATTTCCAAACCAGCCATCAGGGTTGACTGAACTTGGTAGTTGGGACGCCAAGACAGCCAGCGTGTGTGTGTGTGTGTGCGTGTTCTTTGGCCAACATCGTGTGAACATTTGGCAGCGTATGTGTCCATGTTGGTATGTTTGGGAAGGGGTAAAACGAAATACGCTGTGCGGACTGCTTGGATGATCATTGTTTTGACTGGTTTTAATTGGGCCTGTAACGAGAGAGAGTTTCCAACTGTGAAAAATCTACTTGCTCTAGTTTTGTATAAAAAGGGACAAAATGAGTATTTCCGTACCCCCCACTAAAGTGTTTGTACTTCCTTCCAGTTCGATTAGAGACGTCCCATCAGCGGAGCAACTGATTGGATTGATAAGGCTGACAGCTGGGAATGTCTTCAGATCGGTTTCACAAGTGAGTGTAGTCGTAGCATACATGCAATTAATTTCGTTCTATCTTATCGAGCCCCGCGGCATGCACAAGACTCATTAACTTTTCGAATCTGCTCTCCCCCTGGGTCGCCAGAGCCGCCAAAGATGGGCTGCTAGACGTGCTGTCGGCGGCCACACGCAAGGACACGAATGCCAAGGACAGTGACTCCATGACTCCAGTTATGTGGGCGGCCTTTGAGGGACGCCTAGATGCACTGCGCCTACTGTGTGGCAGAGGGTAAGCAAAGCCCGTCCCCTCCACCATCTTTACTTTGCTTTTAACTTGTCCATTTCCACCTGCCAGAGGAGACCCCGATAAGTGCGATCAGTTTGGCAACACAGCCTTACACTTGGCTGCGGCCAAGGGGCATCTTCATTGCGTGGACTTCTTGGTCAAGTTTGGTGTCAACATTTATGCCTTGGACATTGATAAGCACAGTGCCAAGGACCTGGCGGCCATCAACGGTCGGGACGAAATCCTACGCTACTTGGACGCGGCCACTGCCCAATTCGAGACAAATGAAAAGTATGCGCAAGAAAAATACTCCAATAATCACTTGTTTATGGACAAGTTGTTCCCCTTGCAGAAAGAAGTCCAGGGCTTTGAGGGAGCTGGCGGAGAAGAACTGCGAGAAACGAGTCCGTGAGTACATGAAGCGTCAGCAGCAGCGGCAGGATGCAGACTACTGCGATGCCATCCCTCCACACGCACCGAGCCACGGCACCAGCAAGCCCAGCAACATGTTGTCCACGCTCAAGCAGAAGATCTGGTCCAGCCAGGGGAACTTGAATAAGGCACCGCGCGACACAGCTCCAGCCACTGCGTCGACAAAGTTCAGCGATTTGGTAGGCAGCGGGAGCAGCAGCAGCGGAGGCTCCACCATAGCCAGCCGAGTGGGAACCGTACAAAAGAGACCCTCGCACCTACAGAGCAGGCAGCACACAAGCGGATGTCCACACGCGAAGGTGGCTGGCGACGGAGGGGATGGAGGCTTCAAAGTGCGGGAGCTGGAGCCGGATGGCAAGCGGACCATCACCTCGCTGACGGGCCTGCAGCGCGACTCGGAGGTGCTGTACGTGGGCACCTTCAGCTCCACCGAAGAGAGTATTGGCAAGCGTGGCAAGATCACGGACGTGTTCGAGGTGGAGTCGAGCATCGACGAACCGGAACACAACGAGGCACGAATTG